GAGCTATTACTTTGTGATATGTATTAGACATATTTTTCTAGTTCTTTATATCTTGATTTTCTTATGCTTTTTTTTCTTGCAGAAGCTTTTGATATTTATATACAGTTTACTCTTGTACAAAGTGAGGGTTAGGGGCACTGACCCTCCATACAGTTGAAAATTCATGTATAACTTTACAGTCAGCCCTCCATATCTTCAGTTCTGTAGCTCTGGTCAACCAACTAAACACTGTGTAGTACTGTAGTATTTATTTATTTTTAAAAATCCACAAGTAAGTGGACCTGTGTGATCAAACCCATGTTGCTCAAGGGTGAAGTGTAGTCAAATTTATCTATGTTTTGTAGATTCTGGATTTTGAGTAATTTCAAAGTTACATGAGAATTTTCTTGTTTTCCCCCTAGTATTTTATGGTTTAATTTTTTTAAGAGTATAATTTCTTTACAATATTGTGCTAGTTTCTGCTGCACTACAATATGAATCAGCCATATGTATACAATGGTTTAATTTCTAAAAATTAAATATTTGACCCACTTGGGATTTATCTTGTTATATGATATGGGGTATGTATCCAACTTAATTTTTTCCCAAATGTCTATCCAGTTGTCTTCTTGGAGAACTCATCATTTCGTCACAGATTTGAGGTCTTGCCTTTATCAAATAATTATGTCAGATCATATATTCTCACACTAATTTGGTACTAATTCTAGACTTTCTGTTCTATGTGTCTGTAAATGCATTAAACACAACTTTATTATTTAATTATTGAGGGTTTAAATATACTCTGTTATCTAGTGGGGCTACATTCCTTCATGACTCTCTTTTTTAAAAAATTTTGTTTAATTGTATAATTACTTTACAATATTGTGATGGCTTTTGCCGTATCTTTCCTGACTCTTAATTTCCAGAGCTTATGTTATTATTCTTGCCTGTTTTTTATGTGAACTTAATAATTACCTCTTCAACCTTTTTTTTTTTTTTTTAATGGGTTGACATTTTTACTGGGATGTTGTGTTGTGAACTTCTTAGACTTACTTTCAAATCTTCCCAAATAACAATACACTTAAGACCCTGCTTAAGACCCTGTCTGATTCACTGGGCATAGAGACTTGCAACAAAATGATGGGTTTTCTTGGCTGTGTAGTGGTTATTAACATTTATTCATTCACTAAACAACAGAGATCATTTGTCCTTTCAATATTTCTAGTTGTAAGATGTTTGTCATCTCTTTCAAAGAAATGAGTAGGGAAAAACAGATTTCCAAATATTAAAACCTTCCAAACCGATGCTGCTTAATCTAAAACAGCCTCCAAACCTGCCACCCCAACTTCTTACCTTACATCCTCAGCCATTGCAAACATCAAGGGCCAATGCGTAGGGACTTACACAATTGTTGTTGTAGGTTTCTGAAAAACCCTCTATGTTCTTTCTGTGTCATCCAGGGACCAGCACCCTTGGCATCACCTGGGAGTTTGATAGGAATGCAGACTCTTGAGCCTCACTCCAGACCTACTGGATCAAAATCTGTATTTAAACATGTCCTAAGGGGGTTCATAAATACCTTGAAGTTTGAAGGAAAAATGATCAGTGGTTCTTAAAGTGTGGGCTTGGTAGCAGAAATGGTGTCCTCTGCAACTATGTAGAAAAATTCAAATCCTTGGGCCCTACCCTACCCCTAATGAATCAGAAATCCTTGGGTTAGGTCCAGCAATCTGCTTTAACAAGCTCTCTAGATGATTCTAGAGGAGGAAAGGAAGGACGAGAAGAGTAGGAAAGGAAGGACGAGAAGAGGACAAGGGGATGACAGAGAGCGAGATGTTTGGATGGCATCACCAACTCAATTAGACATGAGTTTCAGCAAACTTTAGTGAAGGACAGGGAAGGACAGGGAAGCCTGGCGTGCTGCAGACCATGGGTCACAAAGAGCTGGACACAATTGAGCTTCCAAAGTGAAGCATTAGAATTTAGAATTAGAATTGTGAAATTAGAAAAGCAAAATTAGAATTTCAGTTGCTGCAGGCTTAGGAACCAAGACTCTTGTCGTTTTCCAGGTGATTCCAATGTGAAGCCAAGGATGAGAACCACTGCTCTAGTGTGGAACAATGCTTCTCAAACCTGGCTTCATGTTAGAACCACTGAGGGTCTTTTTTAAAAATACTGATGCTCAGGGTCTCATCCAGAGATATAAACTGGTCTGGGTAGTGAGAATCACATTCCCCCCCACCCTAGATTGAATCCAGCCAGGATTTCAAACCACTGTTCTAGAAATACCATTTCTCCCACATAAACTTCAAATCACAGTAAAGAGAATAAAGTTTGGAGGTGACAGAAGATGGACATCTTTTATTTCCCATATATGTACTGAGCCCTGATAGTATGTTAGGCTAGAAGATTTAAAGATAAGAACAGGGATTTCGCTGTTGGCCCAGGGATTAAGACTTTACCTTCCAATGCTTCGGGTGCAGGTTCAATCCCTGGTTGGTGAGCTAAAATCCCACGTGCCTTGTGGCCAAAAAAACCAAAGCATAAAACAAAAACTATACTGTAACAAATTCAGTGAAGACTTTAAAAATGATCTACATCCAAAAAAAGAAAAAGAAAAAATCTTAAAAAAAAAAAAGTACAAAGAATAGTTCCTGCCCATAGGGGAATATATAATCTGTACTGGCAGAAATACCTGCACATACTTCATACATAAATAATGACTTGAAAGGAACACATCATTCTATGCCACTGACTCTAATTCAAAAAACAAGTTACACCTATTATTGTATATCACTATTAGGTCAAACTAGTTTGTATCTTTTTTTTTTAAGGAATTGGAGTAAAATGAAGGAAATTATGTTGGAAAATGGTGAAGAAACAATTTTGAATATAATTAACAATCAGCCTTTAGATATTTGAATCTGGAGAAAGTGGGGGAAAAGATCCATGGCCACCTCACAGAATAATTTGAGAACTTAAAGATTGGGCAAACCTGAACTGTTTTAAAGTTTCCTCCTGGGCATAATGAAAGAAAATTATGCTATGGAATCAGTGACAATCAACACACCCTGATATTGTTTGTAAATTAAGCTATAACTATTAAGAAAAATTAGCAAGAAATCAATTAAGGAGCTTATAATAAACCTTTTTTCAATTTTGTTATTGGAGATATAACTAATTCTTTTTTGCCTCACTATTTGCCTCTTCTCTTTTGAGAACACATTTAAAAATAAAGGAAAAATATTGCCTTAGTCTAGGAGAAATTATTGACTATAAACAGCTTTCACAGAATTTATTTGTATTTAAAAATGAGTGACCAAGCAAAATTTAAAATGCCTCATAAGTTTTATGGAAAAGTATATTCACAACTAGAACTGAGTAAAAAATGTTGAAAATTCTGTTTGAAGTCAGCTAAGTATTTGTTTTGATAATCCACTAAAAATACATGTCCACTCCTTTGTTTTATTTTCAGTTACGAAGGCAAGGATAAGACATAATCTTTTAAGACCATAGACAGAGTTTCCTCAGTTAAGAAAAAATCACAAATGTTCACTTTCTCTTGTTCTGTCAGAAAATACTCACAGGTTAGAACAGGTCAGAGTACCCTAAATAATACCAGTTTGAATTTGAATAGGTCTAAAAGCATCCCTGTGTGTGTGTGTATGTGTGTGTGCACACGCTTAGTGGCTGAGTCATGTCCGACTCCTCTCAGCCCCATGGACCATAACCCTCCAGGCTCCTCTGTCTATGGAATTTTCCAGGCAAGAATACTGGAGTGGGTTGCCATTTACTACTCCAGGGGATTTTCCTCACCCAGGGATCGAACCTGCATTTCCTGCATTGGTAGGCAGATTCTTTACCACTAGCACCACCTAGAAAGCCCCAAGGGCATCCCTATTTAATATAACAACCTCTCCTTCATGTTTGAAAATGATCCCACATTGTTGAGTGATGAATTTCAAGCTGTTTCCCCAATAAGGGTGGTGGATGCACTGATCCAGCCCTTCTATTCTCCATGTCCACAAACATGTCCCCTACGAGGTGGGTTGATGTGAGCTTTATGTGCGTCCATGAAATAGAGCTAAGTTTACTGGCTCCAGTAGGTCTCGAATCCATCATCTGGGGTAGAATAAACCCTCCAAATGATCAGATGAGAAAGGGAGGGGACATACTATTATTCCAATTTTATAGACAAAGAGACTAAACTTTATAATCATTTTGCATCATTTGCACAGGTTAAAAGACAGTACAGTGATTATCAATGGGAGTTGGAAAGATAATAGAATCACCTGGGTAATAATAATAATAATAAAGATACCCATGTTGTACCCTGCTGTCCTTGCACTACCAACACACACACACACACACACACACACACACACACACACACACGCTGCTGCTAAGTCGTTTCAGTCGTGGCTGACTCTGTGTGACCCCATAGACGGCAGCCCACCAGGCTCCTCCATCCCTGGGATTCTCCAGGCAAAAACACTGGAGTGGGATGCCATCTCCTTCTCCACACACATATATATATAGATACACACACACAGAATCTGAGCTGAGAATCACTTCTGTCAGTTGCTGTTACTGGTATGAGTGTGTGATGTTACCTCCAATGTACTAGAGGGATTTAATAGGATCGAAGACCAGTTCTTTCGTGGGAGCAAAGGCAGCCAACACAGAGAATCAAACCCTCAGCTCTGTATTTTATCTAATGGAGTTTATAGTTTAAAAAAAAAAAACCAAAAAACCTACGGTTCTTTGGATGGAAACATTTTGGATCTAATAATTGAATTACAGCACTGTAAGCCATTAATGACTTCTATTTTGCTCTTAAGAATTTGTGGAATAATCCCCCCAATTCTTCAAAGAGGGGCAAGGTACAGGGTGTTTGTTTTACTTAGCCAGGCGCTTACAGTGACATCGCCACCCCAAAGGAGGTGATACCCAGCTACTTCAAGCAGAGGCAAATTCCCGTCTAGTGCCCAGAAGAGATTTTTTAAGAAGTCGCTACATACCTGTTCCAGGTGACCTTCCCCCCTTTTTTTATTGTGAAGTTGAAGATAAGAGTCCATTCTTGGAGTGGGTAATCCCAAAGTCAGCTTGTTCTTTTCCACAAAATATTGTTTGGACTTCCTTCGCCGAGGGCCGCGTGATCCTGGCAGGAATGCCTCGCTGCGTGAACTTGAACTCTTCAAGTACTGAGAGAGGGTGCTGGACTTCTCCTCAGGGTCGCTGTCGCTCAGCACGGAAAACGGCTCGGGGCGGTGGGTGCTCGGCTCGTAGTTCGGGCTTACGAATTCACTCCCAAGTAAGGAGGCTGTGCTCCGTGGCCTCTTCTGTTCACCTTTCCCCGCTGAGAGGTCCATCGAGGGCTCCTTGGAAGGGTAGAGTGGGTTCAGAGTCAGATTTTCTGTAGAGCTGTCCACAGACTCCGGCAATGCATCTACAGGCAACAGCTTCCCCTCCTCTTTCTTACTCTTCCAGTTTGGATCATATCGGAGGTGTGAGTATTTGTCTTCTGTGGGTTGTTGGCTGCCCAGAGCAGAAAAGAAATGTCAAGTCCTTCATCCAAACAGACTACTCATTCTCTTCAGCTGACCATCTTACTCAACATCAATCTCCATGTTTCTCTTACAATTTTCCTTTTTACTATCTAACATGTGAAAGACATGTCTCAGGCTCAGACTAGGCCTACACACTACACATAAGGGCAAAAGGTCGTCATTATCTAAGTTCATTGAAATATGGAATAAAAAAGGGGGATGGTTCATTTCTAAATGCTGGGAAACCCAACATCTGTAACATTAAACCAGTGAAATCATCTTAGTGTGGAATGCTATTACTTAGACACACCATAAGTTGCACAAGTAATAAGCCGCTGAGGATAAAATGGATTTCACACTTAGCTGGTGATATACACATTTAGCTGTTTATCAAAGAAGGGAAATTCGACCGTTGCCTGGACAACGACTCAGTCTGCATCTTTTGTGGGAGAAAAGCAGGATTTATGCCAACTGAACACCTACACAGGTTCATCCTCCTATATCAGTGATTTTTATTTGTCACTTCATTTTGTCTTTGTAAATTTTTCAAATATGCTATGGGAAGATCCCTCACATTTGGGATCAGACGTTGCCTCTGAAAGCTCTCAGCTCATATTCTCTGGGTCACGTCTGTGTACACAAAACTCAGTAGACAGGTCAGCGTGTGTTTTAAGCTGTAGAAAAGCCCTATATGAATAAAAGGTTAAGCATAGGGTCCTGTCTGGTCCATATGAATGGGTCCATAATCAGTACATATGACCCCAAATCAAGTCCTCCCTTTTTCCCCATGACGATCTCAATTTGTAAAGCACCTCCTAGTCTTAATCAAAAAAGGAAAAAAAGAATGCTGGTAATATGGGCATATTTAATGGCCTCTTTGATCTTCAAAAGCTAAATGGGAGAGATTTTCCTTCCTCGAGTACAGTAGATGCAATCCTCTAATCAAAAAGAAAATGTAAATCATCTGGGCTTTTTATGCTATTTGATATTCCCGTTTACAGAGGACATAATTTTATGCTGGGTAAACAAACTAATGGTGCCCCTAATGCTAATTTAGTCTTCTTAATGTGAACCTAGATTTCTTTGATTTGATGTAAAGCAAAAACTAGAGCAGAAAGCCCCAACTTCCATATCTTGCTAAATTGTCACTTTGAGTTTTTAGTGTCCTTTATTTTTTTTCTTTTAACCATGATGCAAGGCTTGCTGGATGGGATGTCAGTTCCCCGATCCAGGACGGAAACTGGGCCACAGTTAGGACTCCCCGAGTCCCAACCCCCTGGACTGCCGGGGAGTTCCCCTTGTCACTCTGAATTTGTAGTTCACATGTTAAAATGGAAAACTTATTGGGATGGACTGCTCTTCCTTTTCCACTGAGGGAAGAAAAATGACATTCTCCTCCATCAAAGCGCCTGGATGGATGGTCCATAATTGTCAGGAAACTGACATCAAACCGTGTGACTCGTCACTCCCAGAACTCCACAGGGCTGCCTGCCTCTGGGGCTTTGAGGAGGTCTCCATGTGATGTCCCCTACTGACCTTGGGGCAGGGGTTAGTCTAGCAGGGCATAATCTGGACTTGGGACTAGACAGACCTGGACTCAAGTCCTGGGTCCATCACTACCTGTCTGTGCCTCAGTTGGTAGACCATGTCATCTCTGAGCCAGTTTCTCTCATCCGTAAGTTAGGACTCAGTTATATTTATTCTTGCATAAAATCCAGATGAGACAATGTAGCTTAATTCATGTGCTGTATTTGTGTTTAGTTCACTGTTCACCGTGGCCACTGTATCTCCTCACCTAGGTCAGGTCCTGAGCAGCAGGGACTGAGGGCTGGCCTTCCTTTCCCTAACCTCTGCCCTGTGCTATGGACAGAAGAGGTAAAAAGTGATGCTTGAATCAATAACTGAGCATTAGATGTTTATATACTTTTTTAAAATCCAACAGTAGTAAATCAGGATTTAAACATGCAGAAAAGCTGTTTTCTTTGGACCAAACCAGTGGATGACTTTAGGGCTTATTTTGTGCTGCATCAAGTATAAGGTTCAGCAGTGGTTGTTTAGATGGGGAAGAAAAGATGAAAGTACATCCTCAAGTAAATAAAGATAGAAAATATTTTTTTAAATGAAGAAATGTGCCATTTTCCCGTATCTATGATATATTCAAAGGAAAATGTGAGTTTAACTCTCCTCATTCATTCACTTGATTCGACAGAATTTAACTTTCCTCATGCATTTGCTTGTTCAGCGATTCTGTAGATGTTTATTGAGCACGTACTAAGTTAAGGGGAGGTGGTGCTAGTGGTCAAGAACCCGCCTGTCAATGCAGGGGATGTTCGATCCCTGGGTCGGGAAGATCCCCTGGAATAGGAAATGGCAAGTCACTCTAGTATTCTTGCCTGGAAAATTCCATGGACAGAGGAGCCTGGTGGTCTACAGTCCATGGGTTTACAAAGAGTTGGACACGACTGCACATCCCCACACAAGTTAGGGGGAGATGGTGGTGAGCTTAGCTGGGGATACAGACCAGGAAGTGAGCGATTTACAACTAGAGTCATGAGTGCGCCGAGCAGGAGAACAGGGCCATCAGGACTCAGGAGGGACATCCAGTCCCATCTTGGGAGAAAGGGAAGCTTTCTGAAGGCATTGATGGCTTAGCTGATATCGAAGGCTAAGAGGTGCAGAGAGTCTAAGCCAGGCTGAGGAAACAACTTGTAAAAAGCAACAGGGGGCAAGAGAACATGGGGCTTTCAAAGAACAAATTTTGCCTGGATAAAGTGGAGGGTAGGAGTGGGGACGGTTGAGGAGTGAAGCTCAGGGTTAAGCGGAGGTGAGATTTTGCAGGGCTTTGTAAATTCCATGAAGGGTATGGCTTAACTCCATTAACGTGAAAGTTTGGATTTACTTTAGCAAAATCACTCAGTTAGAGAACAAAGTAAGACATAGATACATTTGGATAGGCACAGTAATGCAGTGTTCAAAGGGCTTATCTATGGTTATCTACAGCTTATATACGGTTTTGGGGGGAAAGTTTTAGAACAGGTAGCCTTCTCTGCACTGTTTAAAGCAGGGGCTGGCAGCCTTAAAGGTGATACATCTGGGCCTCCCTGGTGGCTCAGTGGTAAAGAATCAGCCTGCCAATGCAGCAGATACGGGTTCAGTCTCTAGTCCGGGAAGATCCCACATGCTGTGGAGCAGCTGAGCCTGTGCTCTAGAGCCTGGGAGCAGCAACTACTGAGCCCATGGGCTGCAACCAGTGAGGCGCGTGAGCCTAGAGCCTGTGCTCCACAAGAGAAGCCGCCGCAGATAGAAGCATTAGCACCGCAACTAGGGCGTAGTCCCTGCTATCCACAGCTAGAGAAAAGCAATGAAGACTCAAAAATAACGGACAAATTCTGTTAAAGTGACACATCTTATTGGGGCCCACTGGCCCACTGCTTTCCTAGGGTGGGTTGTAGAGTGCTGGCTCTGGGAAGATAGCACATATTAGGGCATGCTGATCTAGGGAATGCTTATAATGAATCTCCATTTTTAACCTCAGAGCAACCCTATGGGGAGGTGTCACTATTATGCCCATTTAATAGATGAAGAAACTGAGGCTTGGAGAGTAAGTCGCAGACTGCCTGCGCTGAGTTACCTGTGCTGCCAGTTACCGTGGGAGTGTGGGCAAGTTACTGTACTTGTCTGTGCTTCAGTTTCCTTATCAATAAAATGAGGATGCTAATAGTACCTACCTAAGAAAAGATAATAGTACCTACTCCATAGTTGTTGAGAGTATTAAGCACATTGGTATACATATATATGCTGAGAACTATGTTCTTTTTTTAAATGTAACTTTTTTATTTTTTGTGTTTGCTTTTAAAAAAAAATTTGGTTGTGTTGGGTCATAGTTGTGGCACACGGGGTCTTCATTGTGGCACGCGGGCTTCTCTCTAGTGGGGGCTTGAGGGCTTAGTTGGCCCGCAGCATGGGGGATCTTAGTTCCCTGACTGGGGATCGGGCCTGCATCCCTGCATCGCAAGGCGGATTCTTAGTCACTGGGCCACCGGGGGAGTCCCTAGAACTGTGTTCTTGGCACACAGGAAGGAAGGTCCCAGGAAGGGTCTGCTGTGGAAGCGCGTGCCAGCGAGCTCCGTCCTGCGGTCTGTGGCTGTGCGTCCTGTTCTCTCTCATGACACAGCACTGCTTCCTGCTGATGGATCCCAAGGGATTCTTTTCTCCCTCAGGCCTAAGTTATTTCCAGGACACACTGTTGTCTCCTGATGCACTAAGTGGCACCTTAGTGGCCTGAAAGAATGAATATTCCATCTTAAAAAATTAAAAAAAAATTTTTTTTCCAAGAACTAGGCATCCTGGAGAATCTGTTTGAACTGTGATTTAGGAAAATGAGATTAAGAAATGTCTGTGTTTCCACATGATGAGAAATTTTAGGCAGTGCTGAGAGATGATGAGGAAGATAAAACTGGGAGAATTCAACTATTTTAGACTTTCAGAAGGAGATGTAATTTCTAGCCTTAATAAATTGCCATCGGACACTGCCCACAGAAGCAGTATCACACACCGTGGAAAAGACGGGTGTTTTGAGTGAAATCTGGAAAATTCAGAAGGTTTTGAAATATCAGAAATACTGAGTTGCTCTGGCTGTGAAAGATATTTTTGAACCAATCATTTGAAGAGACACTCTAATAACGTGTATTTACAAGATTAGAAAGAGAAAATGTGGCTCTTCTAAGTGCTTTAATTATACTGTACTGCGTACACCTACAATGACTATCTTAAAACATCCCCCTTTCTCTCCCTTTTGATGGAAACCATAGGTAGAGACAAATGGGAGGTTATGTTTTGCAAACTCAGGAGTGTGAAAAGCTTTAATACTTCACGGAAACAAATCTAATGGTTGAAATAGAACATGATACTAAAGAACCCCATTATTCTGAGCTTGTGTGCTGAGAAGCTCCATTGTGTTGTGTGGTCCAGGTCAACACACTGGAACAA